CTGAAAAAACTACTCGTAGTTTACATGTTTTAAGCAAATAAAAATACAATTTTATCAATGCCATTTTAGACAATGAAAATATTTTTATTTCTTTTCCACAAGAAAGTGCATGGCAATATATAGTGCACGACAATATATTGCCGTGCACTTTCTTGTGGGATACTGCACAGAAAACGTTCACTTTTGGAGAGTCACGCTGATGCTCCCTATATATGGTTTCTCACTTCCCCAGATATAGACATTGTGCTTGATAACCTTGTCACTTATATGGGAAAGTGGCATCATCATAGAAGATGAGTCTTTACACAATATCATCTTCTTCCACTTTTAAATGCATCTCTTTACAAAAGTGATGCCTTTTCAGTTCGCTGGTGTAAGATTCTGCATTAATACCACTTTGCATGATTTAAAACATAGCTGCTTACATAACACCTTCTACAGTGTATTCTTTGATGTGTCCAATTCCATGTTTGCTTTACTAAGTGACTTGCGAGGACTTTGCTGAAACACCATGCACACTCTTTCAACATTGGCATCATACATACAAGGTCAACCAGAACTCTTTTGCCTTTACAAAGGCAACAAATTTTCACAAACTGTCGGTATCACTTGTGAATTTTATTCTTGTATGGTGGGTCTTTCCTAAACCGTGCACGAAACTCAAGTTGCACTGTGACCACAGAAGTGGACAATTCAAAACGGAGTACACAGAAAGCCTTTTCCTGTTGCGATGTCATCTTGGAAACTTGTGCTGTGGTTGCGCAGTAAGCACGACAAGCAAACAGCAGGTAGCACATGACACATTTTTTACAGTTGCGAATGCTTACAGTGTACATTTTACCATGGTTAAGGCAATACATTGATATGTTAATAATTTTTTGCATACAGTAGTAGCTTAATTCACATCTAACAAAAGTTATTAAAAAGATTTATGCTGGAAATAACTAGGAGTGGGAGAATGGAATTTGCACAATTTAAGTTTCACTAATTCAATCAATTTCCTTTATTGACGGGAAACATTTTCCTTAGTAAAGAAAAAAAATTAAAAACAGGGAGATTCTGTGATTTAAGGGAAGACTAGAGTACCTGGTGAAAAACTGTGAGTTTAATATCTGATATTTTCTGCTGAACTCATAAAAGAAGATGATAAGATATAAATGCAAATGGCTGGCTACAGATCTAGCCAAAAGCAAGACAACAGATACATTTCCTAGATGATTCTATACATCCAATTTAATAAACTGATTTCTACTACTAAATAATACAGCCTCATTTGGGACAGTTGGCAGCCTTACTTTCAGAGCTGTGCATAATTGAAAAAAATCAGCAAACAAGTTTGTTTATCAAAAATGATTCAGCAATATTCTGCAAAGAAATATAATACTTTCCCAATAATTTAAGACTTAGTTATGATATCACCTGTTTGACTAGATGAATTGGAAAAGCATGACGCAGATTACAGTATGCTTTCCATTTACGAAAGTTCACATAACATAGAATTTATTAACTTATACCTAGGAAACAAATTTAATTTTGATCCAATGGTGTAAGTGTTATGCTTGAGAGCAAATCTAGAGTGATCTATTTTTCCAAAATTATTCCAAGAAAGAAACACTATTTCCAAAATTGAGCTGATACAAAAGACGAAATTAGCAAGTAAATCAATTTGAAATCTTCACTGATAATAGATAAAAATGTTCAGCCCAAGTTTAAATAATAATAATAATAATTTTTTGTATTTATGTTTTGTTAACTTTGAATTGAAATGATAAACATGTGCACTTATTTTGAGGCTTACATGTAATTTAAGAACAATACTAACTGCATGGGAAGCTTATTCAGCTATACATAACATTTTTATCATACTAAATATAAAGAGTGCATTAGTTAGTCTTGAAAATAGTTTAAATTTTGCATCTTTTAAACATACTGTCAGGAAAAATTTCAGACATAATTACAACTAAAACAGTTCTCTAGTTCAGCTGTTGTATTGCTTACATTTTACAACTGAGGTAAGGCATAAAAAAATAAAAATTCCGAGCACAGTGTACTGAAATAGAAGCATGAAAAATGCATTTTAATTTGCAGGTGGGTTTTAACTTAAAAGGTATAAACATAATTAGTGTTAGTTATTTGCCTTTATATGAGATAATTTTTTTTTAACACTGAAAATATCAAGCTTGGCATAAGGCAATTTTTAATACAGTACAAAGTCAGTAATCCGGGCATCCATTATCGGGAATGATCCATAATCCGGACCTTAAAGCCACAAACTTTTTTTTTTGGTATGCTTTATGCATGCGTATTTATTGTATAACGGATAGTATAAAGTAGGCTAAAATTATCTTTACTGATTCTAAGGCATTTCAGTTAATGTTGCAGATTGTGCTGTTCCTTAATCTTCTAACTGGATCCAGCTTATTATTTTTTGCAGACTGTTAGAGCAATTTTATAAAAATTAAGCTTGAACTTTCGATTATGTCAAAAAAAGTTTCCAATTCTGGAGCTGCCAAAGGATCTACAAAGCTAAAGCATGTTTCGATGTCCATCAAACAAAAATTGGAATTGCTGCAAAAAATGGATAAAGGCATATCCGTCTCAAAATTACTCGAGGAGTATGACATTGGAATGTCAACTGTATATGACATAAGTTAAAAGAAAAAGGAACTTTTTGAATTTTTTGTGGATTCAGACACCCCACTTGCAATGAATAACAGAAAAAGGGTTCGTTATGATAAAAGTGACGATCATGACAAAGTGATGATTGAATGGGTCAGACAGCGTTGCACTGAGGGCGTGCCATTGACGGGTCCAATGCTAATGGCTCAAGCCAAAATATTTCATGAAGAAATTAACTTAAACACTGAGTGCACATACTCGACAGGTTGGTTAACCAAATTTAAAAATCGCCATGGTATATAAAATTTCAGGTGAAAAAGCTTCGGCTGATACTGAAGCTGCTGACCAATTTGGTGATGAATTTATTGAACTCATTACTAGTGAACAATTATCTCCAGAACAAATTTACAATGCTGATGAAACTGGTCTTTTCTGGCAATCTGTACTGCGAAATACCTTGGCAGCCTCTACAGAAAAGGCTCCAACTGGTGTCAAAGATTCCAAAGGGAGACTAACAATTTTAGTGTGTGAAAATGCTGCAGGAATGCACAAATCCAAACTTTTCATAATCAGAAAACATGCACGACCTCAAGCATTTAAAGGAGTAACGATTTTCCCCGTTATATATCACGCATATAAAAGAGCATGGATGAACAAGCGTTGATGAATGATTGGTTTGAAAATAATTTTATACCCGAGGCTCGGCGACATTTGAATTCGGTTGGTTTACCTGATTACTCAAAAATAGTTCTGATTGTTGACAACTGTTCGGTGCATACTTCACTTAAAGTTTTAGTAAAAGATCATGTATCCGTATTATTCTTCCCTCCAAATTGTACGTCTATCAATCAGCCTATGGACAAGGGAATAGTGCACATGCTGAAATGCAAATATAAAGTAGCACTTTTAATATCTATGTTAAATTTTCTTGAACAACAGCAAGACTATTCAAGAATTTTTGAAATATTTTAGCATAAAATCTGCTGTGTGGAGCATCGCAAGATTGTGGGAGGATGCGTCTCCAGATACGTTAAAAAATGCTTGGCATAATTTATGGTCAGCTACCATATTTCATGTTGAGGACGGTGAAGATGATAGCCGCAAATTTGAAGGTTTTTGGACATCGCAAACTAAAGGTGAAATTTTCCAGTTATTGGATTTTGTAAAGAAATGTAGAGAAGTGGTAATAAATGAAGATGATATAACAGATCCATTGCGACGACATTGCCCCAATCATCCATTGCGATTTTCCATTGCGACGACAATGCCCCAATCATCAATCAATGAACGGACGGCAAATCTGTAGTATGGTTTTAGATCCAGAAAATACCGCTTCCAATAGTGAAGAAAGTGACAAGAAAGGTTATTGAAAATGAAAAAATTTCGATTGAGAAGTTAGTCGGTATTCTCGACACAGCAATTACAGGACTTGAACAGTGGAACTTTGTAACTGAACAAGAAATTATGTCTGTTTATATAGAATTAAAGAGAAAGTATTAGCGCAAAAAACGAAGCAACTTAAACAACTTACATTGAAAGAAATGTTTAATAAAGTAAACAAATAAATATTAAGCTTGCTTTTTTTTTTTTTTTTTTTTTTTTTTTTTTTTTTTGTAAATTTTGATACCCTTTAGTTCACAATTGCTCTTGATTTCATAAATTACGTTTTCATATTTTTAATTATCTAATTTCTGCATGCCATCTTACCAAATTTAAATTGATGATCTATAATCCGGAAAAACCCCTAATCTGGAAACGCCGAAGTCCCGAAAAGTCCGGATTACGGACTTTGTACTGTATAGTAAATTTCCTACTAAATGGTATGCTTGAGAAGATACCAATTTACATTTCTCTGTATCATATCACATGATTATAAAATTCTGCACAAGCCTTCCACTGCAGTAAATTAGATGGTGTAATGTGTGTGATATCTAATATTGTTTTGTCTCTTCAGTTTTGTGCACTTACCTTGGGAATATAGCTGAAACCCAAGAAGTTTCATAATGTATATTTTAATCCAACCTACCAAACAAAAAATCTCAAATCAGTCTAACAACTGCTGTCTGCATGATTGAAAAATGAACTCATAGATGTTATTATTCATAGATGTTATATGTTACTTCAGATTAACAAATTTATTTAAAAACCCAATAAATCATTATCACTTCATTATGAAAAGAAATAAAGTATCAAAATAAATATAGCATACATAAATCCAGTATGTATTATATTGAAAGAGTATTTTTTAGCTTAATTTCTCTATTACTTTCTGTCCAGTTAAATTTATTTTATGCAAATTCTACAAATCAAAGGGATTCAAAATTAATTAAGATTTATAAAAACACATTCATACATAAAAGCTAATGAACATTAAACTACAATTAGAGAACAAAAGTTTAATGTACAATTTTATTCTAAAGCTCATAGCTGAAAGCAAAACAATGTTATTAATTTTCAGCAAAATTCATAGAATTCTACACTAAAAGGTACAATTTATTTGATTTCAGGATTCCATGTTCCAGCTGCTTTCCTACGTTCATACACCATTCTATGCTTCTGTTTCATGTAACAACTTTTCACATGAGCATAAGCTCCAAGATCACCATCTGTAAAAACATTAAAACATTATATCGTTGTTGCTTCCTTAATTATTATGAACATGAACCAAAAATTTACTGAAAGTACAACATGTAAATTTATATAAGTTAGAAAGGTACTTTATAAGAACTGTTCCAGAAAGATAATTCAGCCTCAAAGAGATTTACAAAAACATTTATAAAATAAATAAAGGAAATACAAAATGAAATATAAAATAGAAATCAAATTAACCTCACAACAATACAGGGGAGGGAAAAAATAATAATAATAATAAAAAAAAAAAAACCCCTCAACATACATGAAATAAATAGCAACATTCAATGCCTACTAAAACAATTCTATTTTAAAATAATTTAAAGGATAAAATGTGCATTTAAAGCAATCCAACAGGAGAATGATAATGTATACAATTTCATTTTAATGCAGCAGATAAATTCTCAGGCAGGGAGACAGGATAACATAAAATATAGTGCATACGAAAAAGTGGAAGATTGGTTCCAGAAGCAAAAAACAAGAATAAAATTTAGGTTGTTTTTCAAATAAATGACATCAAACCATTGATCTAGCTTTCAAAAATGCCACAATTATAAGTGAATAATTTATCAAATTAACTGTTTGTTATTAATAATTTCCAGTAATGAACAATAAATGTAATGATTTTTAACCAGCTCAATTTGAGATCTACCGGAACACGTGTATATTTTATGCTTCACTCAGTGCTTTGTGTCAGAGCTTCGCTATTGTGCAAACTTACGATAGCTGTTTTTTAAGCACACAAGTTTATTTTTGTCTTTTGGCAACAACTAGACAAAATCAAAAAGATAAGGCATTCACATTTTTTTTAATGCTCACAACTATTTTGCAACGGACAATTTTAATTCTTTTATGTGCTGCATCATGTCAACTTGATGTTACTTTCATTGTGATTTGGCTAGTGTGTGTATAGATGTGTTGAAATTTTTAACAGATTTTACTTATTTGCAAGCACAATGGATGATGACTTAGAAGTCATGAAGTCATGTTTTGACGATCCATGGACATGTTCAATCGAAAAAGAAAAAAATTATCAGTCGCAGGTATTCCATTTATAACACAGCTTCCTACAACACTAGTTGGTTTTTACATAAGAGAATAGCAGAAACTCTCATATAACATGAAACATGGTTTCATTCTAGAACATTAATGAATATACGAGAATATACGTACATAAATTCTCTTATAATATTTATGCATATACTTTGATAATATAATTCTTATTCTAAACCAGAGGTTGTCAACCCTTAGAAGTTCATGGACCACTACATATATAATTTTATATTTGGCGAACCTCTAATATGAATTAAAAAAAAACTTATATCAGAACTTAGAAACAACATATTAATATGCAAAAACAATATTCAATTTTCCAATACATGTAATTCTAATATTCATTTGTTAATATAATTTTCGAATCATTTGGTGTTCAGAAGCATGCCTTTATGGAAATTCAGGCTACGCCCCTGATTATGAGTAACAACTAAAACACTATTAACATTTCATTAACACACACATTTCATTCACATTGAAAAAATACATTAAAAGTACAAAAATCTTACCTTCTTGTACAAAAAGCTTCACATTTCCACATCACTATAAAGGAACTTCACGAAAAACAAGAATATACCAGCAAACACAAAGCATTATCAATAAACTGAAAGTGTTATGCTGCTAATTTTTAATTAATGTAAACATAATAAAGCTTACTCAGCAATGACCCCATGGATTGATAGTAAGACAAAACAAAAATGGAAACTTCCAGTGATACAATTATAAACAAGAATGTAGATGGTTCTCCTAAAAATCCATCAACTTGCCTATAGACATGGAGAAATACTGTACTATTAACAACTAAAATAACATATGTTTGTAATGGATGTCAACTCTCACTTTCAAATGTTACTAGATACACCTGCAAAAGTAGCTAAAAATCGCTAAATTCAGAAGGAATTTCGCTAAAAGTAGTAGCTAAAATTTAAACAAACCAAAAAAAAAAGTATAATCCATATTCCCTAATAGGTTTTGTTACTCGTCATTTTTTAAACTGAATCTTCATAAAAATATAAATAATGTCCTAATTTTTCTGTGGACCACCAAAAGGTTTTCATGGACCAAAAGTTGGCGAACGCTGTTCTAAACACTTCTAAAATTAAGTTACATGTTATGCTATCATATATACTATACAATGACAACCTATTTATCTATACACACAAGAATAAAATAAATTCCAGGAACATCTACTGTGTCCTTTATTTGTCTTGGGGTTATTTTCTATTACCTATTCACTTCTTCATATCTGATGCATCAGATTTAAATTTTCCAGATTTTTTTATAATTAAGCTGGCAACCCTAATGTTTGACATTTTCTATCTGCAGTCACTGAGGCTAATAAAACTGCATTCCGATATAAAAGAAAAACACACTAAAAATGAGACTGGCAAAGTTTTGACTGTAAATGCTGAACAATATCTTAACATGATATCAAACCTTCTATGGGGTTTTAAGATAATACTGTCACATACAGGTAGTGAAAACTATCAGTTTGTTAAAACAATGTTTTTCTGGTCATCTGATTTCAGATGTTAACTGCTTTTCAGACATTGACTTGACACTATGCGAGTTTTTTTATTTGGGTTTTTTTTATGTCCAAGATGCTAATAAACCATAAACAATTCCTGACCTGAAAACAGAAATCCAATGCTTTATTGCTGATATTTGAGCCAACCAACTTTAAAAAAAAGTCTTCGAAAATTTGATCAAAAGGGTTAGGCTTATTCCAGCATAGACAGCAGCCATATGGTGGATATCATATTTTATAATTAATCTCAACATATCTACTTTATAAATCAATACAAACTGCCCAGTTCAATTAAAAAGTTTGGCTTTTTTTGACAGCGAAAACTAGAACACTTAAACTCTTAACAGACTTGGACTGATTTATCACTGGTTTGTAATACCAACGAAGTCATGAAAAAGTTTAAAACAAACCTTTTTATTAAATATTTATAATTTTATGAAGATTAAACATAAAATGCACATCTCGTGCTTAGAAACCAACCACCACTTGTGGTGACATATCCTAAAGTAACAGTCTAATTCAAACTAAAACTAAATCTGGTACTCAAGGACTACACACAAAATGATTTAATGCAAAGTTAGCTCAAAAACTTCTCACCACAGCATAACACTTTAAACAACAGCTGCAATAATGCAAGGCCGAAGAATTACAATCTTATCAGAGCTGATACCATGTTTCATTTTTTAAATTACATTTGGCATATCTGTTGGACCAATAATGTGAGAAAAAATGACAATAAAAAAAAAAAAAAAAAAAGATTCTGCAGAGGAAATAAAGAACAAAATGCAGAGGAAAAATTAAGTTCTTATAGGAAATAAGTATAATGCAGAAGAAACATATAAAAGAGGCAGCTCTTTACCAAAACTAAATATTTTATTATTAAACTTGAAATATTAAAACAAATTAATTTTCAGAAAAAATTATTTACATATATGCATATAAAAGGACAGAAAAAGAAAAAAAAACTTACTTTATACAAAAATTAGAAAAATAAAGAAAAAGAGAAAGAAAATTTCTCAACTTTTATAGTTTTTTTTAAAAATTTATTATCAATATTAATTCAGAAAAGCTAGTTCATTTAATTAAGGAAAACTTCAGAAAACTATTTCATAATTCTCTTTAACAAAACAAAAAATATGATTACGTACAACCGTTTCATTATTATGAATTTTTTGTTTATTTTTGCAGCCTGAATAGTTTTCCGAAACAGTACAACTGGCACAAATTGACCACATTTAGATAAATATTGAACACAAAACCTCATTATTTTATAAATTCCCTGTAATTTTTAAAATTATTATTATTCTTTTACTTCTTCTTCCTATACTATTATGTAAATAAAATAAATACAATATGAAATTATTTTCAAAAAAATGAAAATACCAGTATTCGCAATGCAAAATTATACACATATCAGCACAAAATAAGTATCCTGAAAATAAAACACTGTGCTGATTATGCTCATTTAAAGACCTGTAACTATGACTCATGCACATAGGAGACTGGTATTTATAATCGAGCCAGTTTCTTTGAAAGTGGTGCAAGTTCATTTTTGACAAAAAGTGTTAATTAATGATAACAATGAATGCAATCTGCTAGGAGCTTTTTATCTATAAACAGTTCTTCAAAAAAAGGTTTCAAAATTTTCCTCATTTTGTCAATATTAATTTACGCAGTTAATGAAATTACAAATATAATTAGTTTGAAAGTGGTGTAAGTCCAATAAAGACACAATATTTACTTCAAAACTTATACTATACAATTTCTCTACTTCATTTTTATATGTATGGCAACACTGCTAATGACATAAACATTTTTGTTCATTCACTGGAATTTTGGTACTTCGTTTATTGTACAGTATAAAATTTAGTTATGTGTTCTGTTTGTTCAATTATTTTGAAGTAAAGTACAATTACCTCTAAAATTACTAATTGTTAATTTTATAACAAGTGTGCATTTTATATTATGTAATATTTGATAATGGCACCTTAAAACTAGACAGTGATTTTGGCAGGTTTTTATAAAATAAACTCTTACTTTGATACATTTTGTTCTACATTTTAATTAATTTTAATATTAATGTTATTTTAAAGAAATCATTCCAATGAAAAGAAACAGAAAGAGAACTTTAGAATCAGATTCTGATGAAAAAAATGCATATTTAAATAAAAATTTTAAAAGAAAATCACATAACTGCTCAACAAATTTTCAAACTTTTGTTAATGAAGCTGAATGCAAAGCAAATTCTAACACATATTGGAACCTGGCAGATTTTAATAAATAGAATATATGTCTCTCCAGAGCTGTTCAAAGCTTTAATGTAAAAAAAAAATTATTCAGGATCACACACACACACACAAAAAAAAAAAAAAAAAAATGCAAATAAATACCATT